TAATCGAGTCTGAAAAAACTACAACTACTAAAAATAGCTAAAATTTTGTTAAAATAATTATAATGAAGTTCGCCTAAATTGTGTAAATCAGAATCGCCCAAAAAGTCACTTTTTGGCTTTGATACACAAATAACTATGTTATACATTTTTAACTTCCTCTTAGCTTAAAACAAAAACCCGCAAAAAATAACTAAATGAGAATAAGTATTATTTCCACTTTTTTACCAATCCTAATTTATTAACAACGTTTAGGCTGTATTGATTTTCAATATTAGTTTTTTGTAATTTAGAAGTAGTTTATATTTAAAAATGGCGAATGCGCCGGGATTAATATAATTATATTATTATAATTAATTAATGCTCCATTTATTAACATGAATAATTATTTAATTTTAAATTCACAATTTATCTAAATTTAGTTAATTGCAGTAAACAAATTATTATTCGTATTGTTTTATTGTTCTTACCAAACAGTAAAAAAACTATAAAATCATTCAAGAGATAAAAATAAAATAATGTCTGGCAAATAAAATAATACAACCAGACTCTAGTTTAATCAATAATATACTCAGTCAAAGTGTCTAGGAAACACCCAGAAAAATCGAATTAAATTTAATTAGTAAATAATTTAACTTATAAATTATAAAATAACATAACTAAATATAAAAGAACACACTGTATAACACATTTTTTAATGCAAAAAATGCTACGAAAATCCTGAAAAATTTCATAAAATGTCAATGTAAACGCTTTATATCTCATCAAATATCAATCTTAGCGATTTAACTGATAAGACCTTTTTTAAAGAAAACTAAACGTTCTACAAGTTTGTCCTTTACATTTTTTCGATAAATCCAGTCACTTTTAAAATATCTTCAAAAATATAAGAATTTTTCACTAAAATTAGATTTAGTGACCCGTACATCCTACAGTTGCAGATTACAGCTATGGCACATAAAGCATTTTTGTAGAACTTTTAATTACAAGTAAATCCCTTTTTAAAACAATTCAATAGCATAAAATGCGGCTGAGATATATGTAGATATTAAAAAAAAATCAAAGTTTACGTTTATTATCTTTATACGCTTTGGGACAGTACTAATATTAAAGGCTCAAATTTTCAGGGAATTTTTTTTAACATTTTCAAAAAATTTTAAGTGGGGAGCGAAAAAATAAAAATTGTCGTGAAAAAAGCACCCTAACCGATATTTATAAAAGGTATCGCCGATATCGATAACTATACAGTTAATTTAATTTCACAGAATGTGTAAATGAAATAATGCATGGTATGTACTATCGCTAACAAAAAAACTCATACAGCTTAAAAATCTAGTGTTCCTGATTTTCTATCATTTCGTTGGAGTAATTATGGCTTTAAACATAATACGTCACATTTAAAAGGTCTAAAATTAAATACAAAGTTAGGTTGAAGTTTGAAAAAAAAAATATTTCGTCATCCCTCTGTTTTTGTCAATTACTGCCCGCAAACGGCAAAGCATGGAAGTCGCCGTCTTGCTTTATCTCGTTCCAAATGGCTTCAATGGCTTGCCAGAGTTCGTCTGCATTGTTTGGTTGAAAATGTTGTTAAAAAAGTCATAATGGATGTGACAAAGCTCGATGTCAGCTTGACATTGACGGAAAAGTTTTATTCACACAGCCACAATATAGCTGTATGAGTTTTTTTTGTTAGCGATAGTATATACGTTTTAGTTAGATATATGTTTTCTTAAAAATTAAAATCAATGAGTATTTTAGAAAATAATTGTTTTATATTTGTTTAACAATAAATATTAATATAAATTTTTTTAAAAATTGGATCTTTTTATCTTTAAAAAAAAACGTGGGGGATTTTTTAAATTCGGTTAAGGGTCATCTTTGTAGGGAATTTAATTCCCTACAAAACCATATCACGGTATTTTTTGTATCTGTTATATTTAATGATTTATAAAACAAAAAGTTGCGAAAAAATTTTTTTTCATGAAAAATTCCTATTTAAGCGAGCGCTAACTGAATAATGGAGATAGGGGGCTAAATTTTTGACACAATTTTTTTTTATTATACAGGGTGTCCCAGAACTCGCGCCACAGAGAAAAAGGGAACGTACCGAAAGTAATTTGAAACACATATTTAAAAATTCAAATTGTCCAACGCAAAGGATAAGGGAGATAAGAATAAAAAACGATAGCCAATCCCAATAGATCACCACAGGGAATTCTTTAAATTGCTAGGATACTTAGGTTGCATTGTTGATAATAAAAAATATGTAAAATATTTGGTCCACTGGAATCCAATTCATTGTAACACTGCTGTCAATCTTTACTTCTGTCATTAATATTATATTTGGTTATAACACAGTTATAAATTAAGTTATTATAAATAATGTTTTCCTTAGATGATTATACCGAAATGATAATTATTTATGGGGAGTGTGGGCGCAACGCCAGGGAGACAGTGAGAGTTTTTTCCCAGCGCTTTCCTGATCGTCCCCTGGACAGTAAAGTAATCCTTAGAACTATCACAAGAACCCGAGAGGCCGGTCAAGTTGTTCCGCTTCGTAAGGGGATTGGAGGTGCTCCCAAACGTATTAGAACAGTGGAAAATGAAGAAGCTGTTTTGAATGCGTTTGAGGAAAATAGTAGGAAGAGCATAAGGGAAGTTGCTCGAGAACTAGATATTTCCCGCTCCACAGTTCAGCGGGTTATGAAGAACGATCGGCACACCCTTTTCATTTTACCCGAGTGCAGCACCTTCAGCCGGAAGATTATCCCGCTGGAGTCGAATTCTGCCTGTGGTTGATGGAGCAAGAAAATCTCCAGCCAAATTTTGTTTCTAACATTATGTTTTCGGATGAGTCAATTTTTGCCAGACAAGGATGCTTCAATGCCCATAATTTACATGTATGGGCAAATGAAAATCCGCCTGCTATATTCCAAGAGGGGTTCCAACATCGATTTTCTATTAATTTTTGAAGTGCTATAATAGGAGATCGCGTTGTATGTAAACTATTTAGGTTTTCTTTTTTATTCTAATTTGGCCATTTTCGTCTAGGTTGGGCCTTTTGAATTTCCTGCACGGTTAACAGGCCAAATTTATGCAGACTTCTTAGAAAACAATTTAGAGAATTTATTAGGCGACGTGCCACTGGTATATCGAGTAAATGAATGGTTGCAGTACGATGGGGCACCACCACATTTTAGTCGCGACGTTCGGCGAATCTTGGACGGGCAGTATCCTGGCCGATGGATAGGACGAGGTGGGCCACAAAATTGGCCTGCTCGTTCACCCGATTTAAATCCCTTGGATTTTTTTCTTTGGGGACACCTTAAAAACTTTATTTATAGTGTACCCATCGAAACAGAGGATCAGCTTAGGAACCGCATCCAAGACGCTTTTGCGACGGTTACTCCTGAAATGGTCATGGAGTCAAAATCCAGCCTTTTAAGAAGAGCGCGGATTTGTTTACAAATGAATGGTGCACACTTTGAGCACTTATTGTAAACAGATTAGCATATTTTTTTTATTTAGTTGTTAACACATTTTCATAATATTTAATTTAGTTTTACTTAATGTTGTTTGTTTACTTTTACGGAAATTTATAGTTTTTGTAATTTTTTAAAAGTTTTTTTATTTGTTTCTGTAACCCCTACGTTTAATCTAGGCAATTGCCTCTTAAGAGCTCTCGGTATTGGCTGCCACTTTTTTGCTTTAATTCGCTTACTCTATTCCCTAGAAATTTTTTATTTTTAAATTTGGCATCTCCATTTCTGTCGGCACGCCCCCTTTTTCTCTGTGGCGCGAGTTCTGGGACACCCTGTATACAACCTAATTTTCGTATGGGACCTTGGAAAAAAATATATTCGTTTTATTTGGCTTCGGTCAATGAGTCTGATATTGTGATGCTTTTTCCGCCACAACATAAGATGAAAACTCAGCGATTGAATATTTATTTGTGTTTTTCAATTTCTTTTAAAAATCTTTAAGTAAACAATGTACAAAAAAATTTAAAAATGTCTAAAAAATATACAAAAATTAAAAAAAAACAGGTTTTTATTATAGTGTCTCAGTGTATACGACAAAAATATATTTTGCCATTTTCAAAATGACTTTTAAATCGCCAAAACCATTATGTGAGTCCAGCAGCATCAAATTTTGGAAATTTAAAATCTACTCGATAGGGCGGTCATAAATAACCGAAAAGGTCCGTACGGATATTGGTTTTTAAAAAAAAAATAAATGTGGCATAATTATTATAAAGATCATAATAATAAATATTTGGATATTCCGTGGGTGTTACTATTTTAATTTTTGAAGGGGTTGTAACATCATTTTACAATATATTTTTTAATTAATTAGTAAAAAACTTGTTTCTATTATATCATTAAATTTTTTTAGTTTTACTGCAATAATTTAAAAATATTTAGGTGTTCCATAGACCCTTTGACTGTGTTTACAGTTCTCGTTATACACGGTGATTAACTGTTATTTTACTTACTTTACTAGGAAAATATTGTATGCATAAAAAAATTTCAAAGGGTTTATCAGACAAGTAATTTTTGAATTATTAAGAATTTATGTTTAAAAACCTTAGCAACGCCTGTGTATTTTCTAAACGAAACATCACACATCCCAAAATGGTTGTTATGTAAATAAAATAAAACCAGACTTCTGCAGAAAACTGCTAAGAAGTAAACATGGTTGATATTAATAGTCTTAAAATAATAAAAGAACGAAAATAGTTTTTTTTACAAGGACACTATATTTTTACGACAAAACAGAAAATTACTGGACAATTGACAAGTGACAACAACTTAAAGCTTTCTTCAGCCCGTGACTAAAAATCCCAAAACCCGTTGCTGACAAGTTCATACTGTGACTAATCCACACAAAGTCACAGCTTGTTAATGAGTATTAAAGATAACTTAGCGTCATGAAAACATATACGATAATACTTTTTTAACATTATGTATGAAAAAATAATATTTTTTTTTTTAATTTTCAAGGTCCGGTCAATCGAGGAGAAAAGAAATTTGGGGATAAATGTACATACACAGACGAATGCGGATTCGATGGAGCAATCTGTGACGATAGGATGCACTGCAATTGCATACCAGAACTGCCAATAACTAATCATCTAAACAAATGTGGTGTGGGTAAGTAGAGAACCCTTTAACCTATTTAATTTTTATATTTTTTTATGAGCTTGTTAAATTAATTAAAAACTGAACAGCCATTATTAATTCATTGTGGGATAAATGCAAAACAAAACCATTAAACGGGCACATAGGCATTAGTCTAGAGAGTTCTCTGGCTCTTTTCATTTCCAACAATGAAAATTATATCGATTAGCAACGTTCTAGAAATGCATTGACCAAGCAAAAAATAAAAATAAGTTCAAAGCCCAATATTGGCACAACATGAATAACTATTTGGTCTGGTATCATTTCTATATCAAATATGTAAAGTATGTAAAATGTTTTTATATTTAGTTGCATTTTAAACATAACCATTATCTGATAATGTAATACCAAATTGTTGCTCTATTGCCCCTATATAGAAGACTTCTATTAGAAGTTATAAAGTATTAAATTGTTCTATTGTTTTGCCGTTTATTATAATTAAATTCAATTTTTTTTAAATATATTTATGCTCAGAATTTTTTATTTTAATTGCATTAAAGACATAAACATGTATGTCCTTTGATTACGTTTTAGATTTTAACTGTTTTGCCATTTACATATTAAATGTGTATATAAATAAATCTTGCAAAAGAGAGGGTAGATATTTCCAAAAAATGTCTAGTTCCTCTTTATATTGCCATCTTTTTCTTTTACGGTAAACACGTATGCAGTTCATAAAAATACAAACATAACCAATTTTATTGACAGTTCAAATCTTTTTACATGCATCGCTAGTAGCGCCACCACTCGGCTGTTATCATCGTAACAAAAGTAGCACTTTTAATAATCAGCTGTCAAACGCTTATTTTACAAACGAGTGTTTTTGAGAACTCTTTAAAAATGAATTAGTCAAAAATGACTAATTTAATAGTTATTAGTGGCTGCTTTTTCACTTGTATTTAACCATGTAATACCATGGTATGCCAAAATTTAACAGCTAAAATTATCCCCTGAATCCGAAAAAACCAAATATCAAAAGTTATGGAAGTAGAGCAGTTTTTGAGATATAATCAATTCCATATTAAATGGAAAATTGACTATATCTCAAAAACTGTTCTACTTTTTTTAACTTTTGACGACATTTTCGGATTCAGGTTACAATTTTACATAAGAATTGGCTGTTAAATTTTGGGATACCGTGGTATCCCATGGTCAACCATGGTACAAGTGAAAAAGCAGCCACTAATAACTATTAAATTACTCATTTTTGACTAATTCATTTTTAGAGAGAATAAAGCCGGAAAATTTTAAAAAATATTGGAAAAAAACCATGGCTCGATTTGTTGTGTTGTTGGGTGTATTCCGAGAGGAAATCCTGGGTTAATTTTTTATCAGTTTTCCAATAAACAGTGTTAATCTGAGTAAAGAAATAAATTCCATAAAGTCTCTGTAAATACAGGGTGTCTCACCAGCGATGGTACCTTAGACGTTTACGAAGAACGGCTGAGGAAATAAATTTGAAATTTTAGTAGCAATTATTGTACAATTTAATCTACCTTTTAAAATTATTTTGAATAAAATTCCTCTTCCGGTTTAACCGGAAGCGACATCAACTTTGTTATTTCCAAAGGAACACCCTGTATTTTTTTTTATTTTTAAATTCCTCATGAAATTCTTAATGAAATTGCTGTACCATTCCCTATACCTAAACTTAATTGATTTCGAGTTAATAATTTTTTTCGTAAAATTTTGTCAGTTCATTAAAATTAAAAATTGCTTATAACTTTTTTGATATTCGGTTTGCTGGTATGCTGTAAAGATTTTTGGAATCTTAAAACATAGTTTTAAAGATTCCATGTCTGAAATTTTCATATTTATGATCAAAAACTAGAGAAAAATCGTGGTAAATTTGTTTAACTTCAAACATTAATAACTTGTTTATTTTCAATGGAACTGTATGCATGTTTTTACATAATCAAATAGGAAAATGAATTACATTTCGATTAGCATAACCATTCCCTATACTTAAATAGTAAGGTTTCGGAAATACAAGTAAATTTCTGTAAAAATCCAATATTTTGACATATTTATCTCAGATACCGATGAAATGTCACAACGGAATCTCCCAGGCTCCGAATTTTAAAATGTTTGCAAGTCAATGGTCGCCATTTTAAACATTTATTAAAATGGTATTTTGGTTGTTATTTTTTCCATCACGTTTTTTATAATTTATAATGATTAAATTCTTAAAACTTTGTTTAATTGTTGTTTTCCATTATTTTTAAAATATCTTTAAAATGTATTAACTGTCAATCAATGACATAACTAATTTGTTGTGACATTTCATCGGTATCTGAGATAAATATGTCAAAATATTGGATTTTTACAGAAATTTTCTTGTATTTCCGAAACCTTACTATTTAGGTATATGAAATGGTTATAACAATCAAAATGTAATTCATTTTCCTATTTGATTACATATGTAAAAACATGCATACCGTTCCACTGAAAATAAACAAGTTATTAATGTTTCAAGTTAACTAAATTTAACACGATTTTTCTCTGGTTTTTGATCATAAATATGAAAGTTTCAGACATGGAATCTTTAAAACAATGTTTTAAGATTCCAAAAATCCTTACAGCATACCAGCAAACCGAATATCAAAAAAGTTATAAGCTATTTTTAATGAAGGTGCAACTGTCAAAATTTTACGAAAAAAAATATTAACTCGAAAACTATTAAGTTTAGGTATAGGGAATGGTACAGCAATTTCATTAAGAATTTCATAAGGAATTTAAAAATAAAAAAATTTACATGGAAATAACAAAGTTGATGTCGCTTCCGGTTAAACCGGAAGAGGAATTTTATTCAAAATAATTTTAAAAGGTAGATTAAATTGTACAATAATTGCTATAAAAATTTCAAATTGATATCCTCAGCCGTTCTCCTTAAACGTCTAAGGTACCATCGCTGGTGAGACACCCTGTATAAATTGTACCTATTAGATACAATAAATACACATTTTAGTGGTGATTACCGTGAAAAGGGTAAACATTTCAATTCAGTAAAAATCGTCAAACAAATAAGTCGTCTAAATTTAAACAGCCTAATATTTAGCCTTATTAAAAGCGTTGATTAAGAAAGTCTCCACTCAACGGTAAAATACCATTATATTATATATTATATATAATATTATATTGCCATGAATTCGTAGGTATATTTTTTGGTTAAAATGCAGTTTGTCGGCGTTTTTTAGAGAACTCAAATATAAAAATTTTAAGGTTATGTTTGTGCAATAATAATTTTTTACTAATTTCTTAAAAATGTCCAAACCTAAATATAAATTATATTAGGTAAAGTTATCATTAATTTTGCACCAACAAATGTACTTACCGAATTAGATCCTTTGGCAAAACATGAAAATGCAACCATTTAGTTCTTGAATTTTATTTACAATTAAAAACATAATAATTTACCATGATCCCTTAGATAAAATACACACACTAACGTTACTATATAAGCCTTTAAGCGTTGAGTTTCTTTATCAGTGATATAAGGAATAATCAATCGAAATCGAGTACTAAAAAAGTTTTTTAATTTTTTCCTTGCAACGTAAAACACAAATAACGTGCGCGATTTAGCTGTGCAATTAAACAAAATTTGTCGAGTAAGACTTCCTCTTTGTGAAAAAACTACCTATTTATTTAAAAATGATGTATAATCTGTGCTTTAAATGTATTGTTGACAATTCTTAAATTCACGCAATGCTATCGAAGCCCACCAGATGGTGCGCGCGTTGCGAAAACCCGATACTTCTTTAGCGTATAAAACCATTGACAGCGTATTTTAGTATAAAGTTATAATGTTATGTATAATGTTAGGTATAATGTTATGATTTTCGAACTACTAAATTGATTTAAGGAATCATAATCATAACCTGAAAAATCCTTAATTAAAATTCTGAACATAAATCATACACTTTGTTTCATTTTAACAAATAAAAATAATTTACTAATACCCCAGTAAAAGTCATAAACGCTTTTAAATCCTATAATTGTAACGCATACATTTTCTATAGAATTAAAAGAATATAAAATTTTATTTTATTGCATATTTACATGAAAATGTTTTGATTGTTTTCTGCCAAATTTCTGCTTCATTCGTCTGGAATAGTCGTTGTTATTGCTTTTTTAACTTTTAAAACCGTTTCCATATTAAATTTTTGTTACATTGCTTTTAACCTTCAATAACATTAAATGGACATTCCGAACAATATATACATTTACTTTGCTTTGTTTTTTATTTTTAATTAATAAAAAATTAATTAAATAAAGCAATTATTGACTATAGCGTACATTAGACGTGCCAAGAAAACGACTGCATAGCAACAACTTTATCGCAATCCAAAAGGTAGTCTACTTGAGGAGGTGCATCCCAAAACTCGTCTTATCCATATTAGCTGTTTTCGAGCAAAATGTCAAAAACCTTATACGTGAGTACTAGCATATCAGGTAAACACAATAATTTAAACAAAATATAAATGTAAACATTAAATTTTCTTAGTTTCTTTAAGATACTTTCTTGACCCATTACTGGTAATATTGTTTTATTTTAATATAAACTACACTGTTTAAAAGTTTCACTATTTTATTTAAATATGACAATTGTTTAGAACTCATTATCCACAAACATCCACAGATACAACACTTCATATATTGGTACCGATATGTAGATGACATACTCACATGCTTCACAGGTACTAAAAGACAGTTAAATATTTTCTTAAATTTTATCAATAATATTCATCCCAACATTAAATTCACTATGGAAGTAGAACAAAATAAACAAATTAACTTCTTAGACCTTACTATCCAAAATAACAAAGGTATCCATTCATTTAAAATTTTCCATAAACCTAGTCACACAGATACAGTCATACATAACTCTTCCTCACACCCGTACCCACATAAAATGGCAGCTTTTAATTCGATGATACATAGACTTTTAAATGTACCATTATCCGAAGTGGATT